CTCTGTTTGGGTTGTTCAGACACACGCAGATACTTGTCATAACATCGGATTCTGGCTCGATAACATCTTTCAATTGTTTTTCCCTATGTTCTGTAAATCAGACAATTAGTATTCAACGTCAGTGCTTATTACATCAATACAGTAAAACCCGCGTGTAAGGACCTACAAGTCTGGCAAAATAGTTTCTTGTATTTTGGGGTAGTTATTGGTAATTTAGGGTAAGTCGGTCCTGAATTAGATTTTTAATATCTATAAGGGAGATGTAGTTGTTGATTACCAGTAAAATAAATAACCTTGGGTTTGGCCCTTGATTATACAGTATTCATTCAGGGGCACCCAACGACCGTTTTCTCTCAAATGCTTTTAAACGCTGTTTTAGGCTATCTGGAGTACTTTTAAAGCTCTGTATGTTAATTTTAGGCTGCGCTAAAAAATTTTACCTGTTCGGTTATTCTAGGGGAACTTTAGTATTCTCGAATTTATTAGGGCTTTTTTGTCCATTCCCCGAAAACCGTAGGTCTTATCACCTTTCCGAAAATGATAGCTGACCTTTTTTCGGTACCCAAAACGACATTTTTACAATTCGAAAACAACAGACATTAAATTCTCATATCACGGAAGTTCGAGGTGACAATTCTCTTCAGAAAATCAGAGGGGATTAAAGGCCTTCCGAACAGATCATTTACCGAAACGATCCGTTGGGTGCCCCTGTTTATTCACAACTGTATTATGCATTTTCTTGTAAATAAATTTGCAATCTCAAAGTCACATTCCTTGGTTAAAATGTTTATCATTATTTAACTGTAACCCACATACATATAAGAACCTTCTTGATCTTGCTTGGCTAAACAGGTTCTTATATTTTTGGGTACTAAAATGGCAAATTTCTGCATGCGGGTTTTTACTGTACCAACTACACAGGTCTCGACACGCCTTTAATACGACAACCTCGTTAATACGTAAATCTCAATCAAAGCCAGAGAAAAGAGATCAAAAGAGATTGGAGAGCCATTATTTTGTTTATAACTCCCGACGAGATGCTTTAGCCTAAAGACTCTCATCTCGCCCCATTCCCAACTCGGCCATACCGCCCTTTTTCGTTCACGATCGCAGCACTCGTCTAATTGTCCATAAGAGCAAAGACCGACTGCCAACAGCCTAGTAAATCTTAGCTCCGTTAACACCTTAGACAGATTTTGGTGGTTCACTGGTGTTGAAATGGGGTTCTATAATTCTACTGCGGCGAGAGGCGCCTTCTCGCCCTCTAGGACGTATGTAAAGCACCAAAGGACAAATTTTGGGATTCGTTCGTTCGTCACTCTTCCTTTATGGCTTAGCGTCACATTTTCCAACCAAAGATACTGCACATAATCATTCCATTTATTT